AGCCGCCCTCATTGCTTCTTCTGCCACACGAGGACCTTGTTGTTGGCGGGCATGTCGACGGTGTGCCTCAGCGACAGTCCCGCGGCGGCGGCCAGAGGCTGCAGGTCCAGCACGATGTCTCGGAGGCCCCACTCCGGGTTCATGGCCCGCAGCGTCTCGTCGAAGTTGACGTTGGACTCGGGCGTGATCTGGCCGTTGACGGCGCACCAGGATGGGCTCCTTGTTGCGATCGGCGGGCGCGGCGATCATCTTCGCTCCCTCCCTGAAACAGAAATACTGCTATGTTTACTCCCCCCCCCCACACCCCCTTAAAAAAATTATATGAAAATGACACCATAGTAATTGTAAAAAAATTCCCACTCTAGTTGCGGAATACACCTCAGTAATGCCTCTGACCTCAAGCTCTGACAGTCACATCTCCATCACCCTAAGAATGCTAGATATCGTCATAAAATTTTCCTGGGATTTATCCCACTTTTTCCAGTAGTTTTATGTCAAATAAATTTGCTCTAAAATAAATATCTTTCCCAAATTTGATGTATATTGTTTTTTGTTCAGATTTCTCAATATTAAATGGATAGCATTTACATTTGAAAGAAACTCTAATAAAAGAAAAATCAAATTTCAGGAAAAATAAAAAATTAGAATAAGAATTATGAAATGCAGTCATCACCACTTTAAGATCAAAAGTAGATAAACAAAAATTTCTGAACATCCATCCACCCATACATCCATAAAGCATACAGCTCTGTCTGTCCTCCGTCCAACGCCAACGGCCGACCGGCTGGATCCGTGACGTCACAGGGCAGCCAGGCCTCCTGATAAGACTGTGTGGGTGACACTCTTCATGACTAATGACATGACATGACATGACATGACAAAAATGAAATCTAGACATTCGTAATGTTTATTGAGCTTCGAACATTTCAGTGGATCTTTTAAATTCTACAGGACGTACAAATTCGTACTTTAGTGTGGTAGTTCTGCACTTCATATACTTGTGTTCCAAAATATAATCTATATTCAGATCTAAGAGTGTCATGTCATCATGCTAAGCGTTATTTATTTAATGCAACATTTTTCGGGGAGGGGGGGGGGGGGCTCCAAGGGTTGTCCAGGGGAGTGTGATCAAAGGGTTCGACTAAATTTGAAACGTCAGGTTTTAGAGACATTTTTCAAATCTCTTTAATACAAAACGGCGTATAGCGGAAATTTCAAAAAGTCGAAAAAAAAACACACACACAAAACATTACTGTAATGTGGATCTTGAGATTTCGTGGTAAAACCATACGGCTTCCCGCGACGGAACAATGTTATAACTGATACAACATAAAAACGTCAGGTACAATAGGAGTTGAATCACTGAGCACCTGCCCTCATTGCTCCTTCTGCCACACGAGGACCTTGTTGTTGACGGGCATGTCGACGGTGTGCCTCAGCGACAGTCCCGCGTCGGCGGCCAGAGGCTGCAGGTCCAGCACGATGTCTCGGAGGCCATACTCCGGGTTCATGGCCCGCAGCGTCTCGTCGAAGTTGACGTTGGACTCGGGCGTGATCTGGCCGTTGACGGCGTAGGGGCCGTAGGTGATGAGCCTGCCCCCGGGGCACAGCAGAGCACCCG